GAGCTGCGCATAGCAGCGGCAATACCGCGCTGCAGTGGGCCAAGGAGCATTGCCACACCGAGTGCGTCGAGGCCTTCAGGACGTATCTCGGGGAGGTGACGGCAGCTCGGAGCGAGGCTCTGTCGGCCGAGGCGGGCGGCGCAGGGGCGGGAGACGCGCCCGCAGGCGAGGCGGAGGCGGGCGCCAGTGCTGCGGCCTCTGCTTCGATCGGCGAGGGCGGCGCAGAGACCGCGCCGGGCAGCGAGGCGGTGCCAGAGGAGGTTGTGCTAGCGGCTGAGCGAGGCGAAGAGGCGACGGTGCTGGCGTGGCTCGACAGCGGCGGACAGACCGACGCGACCTTCGAGTACACCTTTGCTTGCGGCTCCCGTGTGAGCGGCATGACGCTGCTGATGGTCGCAATGGTCGATGGCCACGAGGGGCTGGCCGAGGCGCTTCTGCGGCGCGGCGCAGATGTCTCGTTGCAAGACAGCGGCGGCTATACCGCGCTGATGTTCGCCGCCCAGGAAGGCCACGAGCGGGTGGTCGAGCTGCTGGTGCAGGGCGGGGCGGAGATCGACCAGCAGGACTGCCGCGGCTGCACCGCGCTGATGGGCGCTGCCCTCAACGGCCACGAGCGGGTGGTCGAGCTGCTGCTGCATCACGGGGCGGAGATCAACTGGCAGAATTGCGTCGGCGTCACCGCGCTGATGTTCGCCGCTGGCAGGGACCATCCCGCGGCCCTGCTCTGCCTGCTGCGGGCGGGCGCCGACACGGAACTGCGCTCGGCGGCTGGACTCACAGCGCTGCAAATTGCCAAGGAGAAGGGCCAAACCGAGTGCGTGCGCGCCCTCGAGGAGCATGCGGCGGCCAAGGCAGCGGCAGAGAAGGCGGCGAAGGAGGCGGCGAGGGCTGCGGGGGCGGCGGAGAGGGCGGCGCAGAGGGCGGCGGAGGAGAAGGAGGCGGCGCGGCACGCCGACGAGCTGCTGGCGGAGGTTGAGGCGGAGAAGCGCGCCAAGGGCAAGAAGGGCAAGAAGAAGAAGAAGGGCGGAGGGGCGGGCGCGGCTGGGCCGTCGCAGGAGACGGCGGAGTTTAGGAAGGAGGGTGCCGAGGCGCCGTTGGAGGCAGCCGAGGCTGCGAAGAAGGCCGAGGAGGAGAGAATGATGAGGCTTCTCGAGAAGTGTCACGAGGAGAGGATCCGGTTCGGCATCACGGCGGAGAGCCAGGCGGCGGCGTCGGCAGCGGTGGCCGAGGCGGTGCGCTTGGACGCTGAGGCGGACGAGGCGGAGGAGGAGGCGGAGGCGGACAAGGAGGCGCTGGCGGCTGCCGAGGCAGCGCTGGATGAGGCGAGGGCCGCAAGAGACGCGAGGCGTGCCGCTGCGGCCGCTTCGATGGCCAGGGCGGTTGCAGCCAGGATGGCGGCGGATGCGGCCCAGGAGCGCTCCTAGAGAGCTGCTCCGATCCTGGACGGGTCACCACGTTTGGAACGCGAGAGTAGCACCGGCGTGTAGCCTCGAAGGGGCAGCCGGGGTCTCGCGTCTAGGGTCGTACAAAGATGTAAGGTACAAGAAGCAGGCCGCGCGAGCCGCGCACAAAAGCTGCGCCACAGAAAGCAACCCGGTACCGGGGCCCACCCCCCCCGGAACCCCGG